GTTCATTCTACAAGTTTGTATGTTTCTTCATATAGGCCTACTGAAAATCTCAAAATCTGATTTTTTCTTTATTTGCACGTTAAATGTTGAAAATTGAGCAGCACAATGTGTTGCTGGTGCCACAGCTACATTACTACAAGTATAAACATCGGTAGTTATAGTCCTGCTGCTCCGCTACATATTTGGAAAGTCCAACAGAACAGACACGTAGAGTCGAGGTCTGTCTGAGGTTTCTGCCCGCCTGTTAAGAAGGCCAGTTTTTCCCCTTGTCACCATCGCAAGGTCATTTGCTGCATCCCGTGGACTGTTGGGTCTCTGTAAATGTTATAGGAGGAGTTCGGTCTAGACGCCTGCTTCTAAAATCTGAAAAGTGTCCTGAGATTATACTTCTGTAATGAATTCTGGGGCGGCTAATACAAAATAAACTGAATTGAATTGAATTGAAAAAAAGAAAACGCAGTCCCAAACGTAGTCATCAAGCATTAAAAACATTATTTATTCATTAAGGCAACATTGTCTTGAAACTATGGGCTCATTTTATTTCAGGAGAGGTCAAGAAGATCCTCTTAGGCGAAATTAATCTTTTCTGTCATGAGCTCAAGAATTTTATATAAAAAAATATAAATTAAGTTTCCAAAACGCAACAAAACTAACAATGTGTCTGTGTCATTGTATCAATCACTGTATCGAACGGGTTGTAGCGGCAAGCCCCACCTTCTCCTGCTGTCGTCCATGGACCCGATTTATGTGTGACCACAGGGACATGCGCAGCCTAGCTAAGCCGTAGCTAAGCTAAGCTGGGGCGTTTTGTCCGGCCCTGGCTGTGTCTTGGCTGCGCGGTGTGGGTGCCTGGCGCTGGTTGCTTCGTGGTGTTGGCGATGGAGTGATTTGTAGAAACGCGAGCTAGTTAGTAGCATCGGAGGCTTAAAAAGTCGGAATAAAAATATAGCACATTGTGGTATTCATTTGGCATACAAGTGTAAATCTGTTTGAAATAGATTTACCTTTAGAAAGGCAAGATGTGGCAACAAGTTAGAAAAGGTTTGAAATGACCTTGCAACCCAGCTGTTTGGTCGTTAAAGATGGATTTTGCTAGTTTGGCTGTAATCTACTTCATGGCCCAGGCAGGTGGAGAATCTGAAATCGCAGTTCTGGTTCTACCTCCAGTAGAGTTTTTGCTGAGTTTTAGCCAGATGTGGCTGCAAGTGTGTACCAGGAACTTTGTGTAAAATGTTGTTAAAACAAAGGGCCAAAAAAAAAAAAAGAAAAAAAAAACCCACAAAACTGTTGCTGGTCTTCTCTTTGCAGGGATTCATGTTGAACCGCAGGTTTGTGTTTTTTGGGTTGTTGGGAAGGCTGGAATCCAGTTTTGTTTGCCCGACTATATTTAAGTGCAGAAGGAGTTTTCTTTCAGTGCCGTGTTTCTGTTCTATCAAGCCAACAAGAACAACTATCGTACAATGTCCGCTACATAATTCTGTGTTAAATTTGGTTAAGATGGATCAAAAAAATGATGTGGCAATAAGCTAGCATCATGTGGCGATTTGTAAGATTGTCTAAATTCATAGCTTTGTCGGGCCGTGTGCAAGACAACTAAGCAAAAACTGTTAAAATGTTTATTTTTTTAATGGAGGATGTGAAAAAAAAATACACTAGAAAGAAAAAGAAAATATATTTTTCCACTCCTTGTTTTATATATAACACACCCAGCAGCACAGGCCTGAATACACACCCTTCATGCACTTGAGAAACAGAGACGGTGGAGTGATGGGGGCTGCAACTTTAATAAGCGCCGCCATGAGGCAAGATTTCGTTGGGGTTAGGTTGCCTTGCTCAAAGGTAGCCTCGGCAGTGCACACGGAGGTGAAACTGGGCAAAACTCTCCGCAGCTACCAGTCCAGCACCTCCCATATTGGTCTGTGGGACTTGAACAGGCCACACCCGACCCCTCTGGTTCCCAAGCGCAATTCCCCTACACAGCCTGAGCTAGCAAGGGGTCAGTAAATTTAATAAAAATAATTAAAATGTACAAGTATGCAGAAAACTGTCCCTTTAAATAATGAACTTCCCCCAGGTGATCAATCAGTTGGCAAACATACAGGGGATAAATGTGACATGAAACAACACGTGTTAAAGGACATTTGGATTTGACCTTTGGGCTCCACCTGCTGGCAACGGCAGTCAGCACCTTACTTCTGTTGTTCCTGCTGCCTCAGAATCGCAAACACTGAGTCCACCAGTTCATCAGTTAAGTTAGGGCCCCGAGGCCAACTGAACGTGCGAAGGTATTGTAATTGAAGGAATTGCTTCTTTCTTTTTCTTTTTCTTCTTTTCCCTCCCCTAAACGAAGCGCAATATTTGGAAGGGGCCTCCCAACATGGCTCCAAAAAACTCCATGAAACGTCCGGCACAGCCCTGTCACGACGTGGCGAAAAAAGTTTATATTCTATGTGTCGCGTTTCGATTTGGCAGCTAGGTGGCGCTACTATAATCAAAAGTGCGTTTGCTAATAACTTCCTGGCATAGTTTGTCGCAACATTCAAAACCCTTTATATCTGCACGCGTTCTGTGAATGGAGCGTGAAACCTCCCCCATATAGGCCACGCCACTTCCGCCTAAGAATTATTTTTTTCCCGGCTAGAGCGCCGAAAATGGGTCAACACACTTTTTCGTGTTACTCCTATAAACGTTGCCCGATTTTCAGCGAAATTTTTCCACCATAGCATCCTTGGGGGGAGCGTCGCTGGCAAAAGGCATTTGAAAGAATTTTCGATATTTAAAAAATAAGCCTGTTATGAATTCATTATTGCCCTGTACATTTTGTTCAAAACAGGCCAAGTGGAGCGTTCTCCCATATTGGTTGGTCCGACCGATTGAACCAAACTTGAGTCCATAGTTCCAGCAATGCAGTTCTCCAGGGATCGTGTAGCAATTTTAAAGCCATCCCCACCAAGGTGGCGCTCCCTTTAAAATCGAACAAGTTTATATCTCCGGCAAATCCGCCATGATGCGATTAAAAATGAAACTTGGTAGGCGATGTTGGCCCATGGCTCGCCCTGAGCGCCCTCCCTAATAAATGTGTCAAATGATGCCGCCACTGGTGGTGCGGGTCTGGTGGGATGGTAAATCACTGTGTGAAGAACCCGTAATAGTTATGAATATGAAATTCACCAGGGCCACGTTGTAGGTGGGGCCTGTAAGCTCACCATAAAAATCCATGTTTATCGGTTTCGTAGCGCCCCCCCTCCCAAGGAATTTAAAAAATAGCAGCCGCCCCGGCGCCAACCCGTTTCACGCGATATGATACGAACACTTGGTAGGCAGTGTAACTCCCACCAAGACGTACCAAAAAAGCCTCTTGGACCCATACGCCCAAACCGCACCGGGAAGATGCGGCCGCATTTTGAATTTCCATTTTCAACTTTCGTGAAATTTTCGCGTTGTAATTTGAACGAACTCCTCCCTAGGGGATTCATCGGATCTGCTTCAAATTGGTCCAGTACAGTCAAAAAATGGTGGCTGATTAAAAGTTGTGCTATTTGTGCAATGTAGCGTTGAAGGCGTGTCCGTGGCGTGCGTCCCAAAGTTGGCCCATTTTGACTTTTTTGCTCCCCATTTTCGGTGGAATTTTTCG